TTATCTGAAAATATAGGTTTTATGGCTGATTTCCTAGATTTACATATGGAAAATCAAGATGGTCAGTTATTTACAACGGTGTATCAGAAGCCGTCTTACGAACCATATTATTTGCCGTTCAACAGTGTGCATCCATTACACATGAAGAAGAATATAATTTTTACTATGTTTCTTCGTATTATTAGACACTGTTCAACTTTTCAGGCCTATCTGAATGAACGTGAAAAATTACGAATGGCATTATTATTGAATAAATATCCAAATAGAGTTATTGATGAACAGTTTAACCATGTGTTATTAAAATTAAATATTGATCGACCATTAGAATTTAATAATTATGATTTAATTCGTCAAAAAATTATAGAGACACCAATAAAAGAAAAAGTACCAGTAGATTATGGAAAGATAATGTTTGTTCATTTTACTTTTTGTTCAAGTATGAAAACATTTCCAAAAAAAATCCATATCCTCTGGGATAAATATTTTGGTGGATCTCCGATTAATGAAGTTTTACCTGTTCTTGGAACACGTAATGTTAACAATTTACAAAGACGATTAGTCCATACTAGATCTATAAATATTAGTGGTTAATATGTTCAAGTTTTTAATTGGTCAACTGTATTTGAGCATCCTTTCGTTCCTAATATGGAAACAACAACATTGGATTAGTACTTAATTTAAAATTAATTATTATTAGTATAATGGATTCATAGATAATGGAATTATTCAGCCTTATTAAGTATGATATTTATATCTTAGCCTGTTTACAAATAAGTAATATTAATATTATTCAAATTGTCTTTTACTATTCCCATCGTATGGGTGACAACCGAAAACAATTCACCCCGTTCATAATATTAGGATACGTGGGTTATGTCGATTTGTATGTATTGGATATTGACTTGACAAAATTCATTTATCAATTTCATTAGAACACTATTTTCAATAATATTGATTCAAGTCTTTATTAATTTCTTAAATAATTCAATATTTCTATATATGTTCATATAAACCTGGTACTTAAATATATTTCATAATTGAACGATATCTTCAGAGATAGATAAGTGATATTAGTATACTTAATAATATTATACTAAACGAAACAAGATCTTCAAAGACAAATAAGCGATATTAGTATACTTAATAATGTCGAACTCAATGGAACAATATCTGAAGAGACAAATCAGTAATATTAGTATACTAGCGATATTAGTATACTTAATAATATCATACTGAATGGTATCTACAGAAACAAATAAGTAATATTATTAAAATTAAATAAATAATATTGTACTAAATAAAAAAGTATATTTAAGCCCCTATTCATCTTTTTTGTTCAATATATTTTAAGCCCATGTTCACCCCTTTTTTTTCAATGTAATTTTTGTATTATTTTTGTTTTTGTTCTGGTATTTTTATTTTAATTCTTTCTGTTTACGCTTCTTGTTTTGCTTTTTAATTCTAATGCAGAGCCCTGATGAGTGTTTCAATATTTTAATAAATAACACGAAACGCGTCGGTGAAAATAATCTACATTTCTTTTAAATTAATTTTCATTCAAGTATATTTATATTCATTCAATTCAAATTTAATTTGTCGACAGAAAATCGGTTGCTGAAAAAGCAAAAGTTGAGACTAGCAGATTGATTTGTATTATTATTGAAATATAAGTCGATCTATTTTCCAATTGATTCACCCACACCCTTCTTTGTCTATTTCGTTCGGTTTTGATTTTTAATATTTGAAGATGAAAGTTTAGTATGGAGCTCCTTTTAGACTTCTTCCGAAGAGAATACACTAATAAAATTACCGAAATTCATGAATCATATGCATGTTCCTCAGACATGACCATAGAGCTCTAAGATGGTCGTATTGAAGTTTTTCAAAAAATGCTTAGATACCCATGAATTTACTCATAAATTCTCTATAACGAAGTTCAAAATCAAAGAAGAAGAACAAGGCCATAAAAATAGTTTATTCTGAATAATTTGATGAGTCAATGCAAAACAAGATTTACATAGATGACATTTTTATTTGTGATGATTTAGATTAATCTGGACACGAAACTTAGCACAAATAGAACGAAAAGCAAGAAAACAAAAAAGTAATGTTTACGAGTGCATCTCATCTTCACACCAGACGATGTCTAATATCAGTTCGTGACAGCATAGGGATCCCATAAGCGTGAGCAAGTAGCATTATAATAGTAATTTCTCATTTGTGGACTGATGTCGAGAACAAAATCGTTATCGGAAGAATCGAGATAAGCATCCCATTTTGCTGGCTTTCCATTGTAGTTAGGATTCGATGTATGAATGAAATTGGCCCAATATAATATCATGTTCGTAGATAGTTGTTGCTCCAATGCAGTAAAACTGTAATTGGGATAAAAATAGGGAAGAAGGGATGGAAAGAACATAAGCAGTTCGTCAGCATGGGTCACGCCTAAGCAAGATGGTGCAACTGGTAAAAGATGATTATATGTATAAAAATAAGATGGTAATCCATAACTAGAGAATTTCGAAGCGATACGTCTGGAGCCACAATGGAGCCAAGAGTCACTGAATACTATGTTTAGATAAGTTAATGGATTATAATAGGCAGAAATGGAACCATAAACAGTAGGAATCTCGCTAGCAATAGTGACATTGTACGCTGCTTGGAAGAATGCTTGAACCTGTGTGATGTTGGCCGTTCCATTAAAAACTGGGCATGTGAATAAAGATGTCTCGTTCGTATTGGATCCGATCAGGACAGGAATCCTTTGAAAGGCTCCTTTGGCATAGTTATTTTCCATTGTGTCGTTTAAGACATAACCGTCAATAACTGGAGAGGCTGCTACTCCCACGATACTTTCAGATGCAATCATATTCTGGACTGTGAGGATTTGATTTACTTTTAAATTCCGCAAACATTGCACTGTAGCACAATTCATAATGAGTCGCAAAACATTGCCAGTTCTATTAATAGCATCCTGTAGAGAAATGGCGGCATTGGGCCATACACCACCACTCTGTATAATGGCTCTTTGGAAGGTACCATTAGTAACCAATGGTGATGTAAGGAGAATGGTAATGCTTACACCGCCAGCACTCTCACCACCGACAGTAATTTGTTTTGGATTACCACCGAAACCATTGATGTTCTTCTTTATCCAGTCTAGTGCCATCATCTGATCCAATATGCCATAGTTACCGGTAGTACCTTTGTTATTGATACCTGATCTTTCGTCATACAATGCTTTATCTGCTAAAAAACCGAGTAGACCGAGTCGATAATTGATCGTGACGAAGATTACAGGATTGGAATTGATCATGCTTGTGCTAACAAACGAAGTAGCATCATACTGTATACCAGCTCCTGTAGTAAAACTACCTCCGTGAATCCAGACATACACTGGCAAATTAATTGCATTTTTGGGAGCGTATACGTTCAATGTGAGGCAAGCTTCGGTGAGTAGAATGCCAAAACTATTTTGCTGAGTACAAGCGTTAGGAATGACTGCATTTTTGGTGCCCTTTGATGCGGCAAGCGGTTGAGGAGGCCTCCATCTAAGGTTGCCGATGGGTTGTTGTGCATAGGATATACCATACCAGTAATTGACATTTGTCCCATTTACGGTTGTTTGACGACCAATATAAGTACCTTGTTGTGTTTGAGCTGTGACCAAAGGATTGTCACTCGCTATGATAGTGACTGAAATAATCAGTGATACCAGCAGTACCAGCATAAGAGTTTCTACCGTAATCATGTGAGTAGTTGACACTATTGTGTATCTTATTTACTTGTATTCTTTTATAGTCTCTGAGATGACACTCGTATAAATATGGTTGGAGAACTGCAATAATACCCTTATATATAATTTGGATCACTGATGTATCTCACAAATGACTTACTTGATTGTAAACGCCGATTATTTTGTAATAACAAAAATGTTATTTCACAATCGATATATTATTTATTTTTTCTTTCTTTTCTATATCGTTGATTTGTATCGATTAAAGCACAAACCACGTGAGATATCGCTTGTTTTCTTCACAGCCAATGCATTCTCGCTATAGAAATACTTGGTAATATTGCTTTATTGCATGAGAAAAAAGAAATTTTGCTATTTCGAATGTTATGTGATGAAAGCAAGCAGTAGAGCGTGTAAAATGTTGTCAATAGCATAAAAAAAGAAAGGAAGAAAAAAACATTAAGTTAGGACGCTAAATGAAGCATTGGTTGTAAAATAATATTTTTCTTCTCATTTATAAATTAATCCAAACATACAATGTAGCAGAGAGTGAGAGTGTATGTTTCACTATCATGATGTAAAGACATCGGGTGGAAACCAGATCGACTTATATTTTCAATAATAATACAAATCAATCTGCTAGTCTCAACTCTTGCTTTTCAGCAATCGATTTTCTGTCGAAAAACTAAATAGGATAATATATAAATATGCTTGAATTAAAATAATTAAAAAGAAATGCAGAGTTATTTCGCCAACGCGTTTCATGTTTATTTTATTTAAAAATTTGAAACACTCATCAGGGCTCTGCATTACAATTATAAGCAAGATAAGCACAAGAAAATTAATAGAAAAAAAGTTTTTTTACAAAGGAACTAAAAACAAAAAACAAAAATAAGAGGAAAAAATGAAGCACAAAAACATTTTAGTATAAGGCAGGAAGGGGCTTCATGAGGGGATAATTGATTAATCAATAAATTTTACTTGACGATAAAAAGATAATTGATTGATCAATAAATTTAACTTGGTGATAGAGAAATGATAATATATAACGATTATTAATCATATCAGGATCATAGATAAAGAATTATAGATTTTTGTTCCCAAATAATATGAATTATAATCAAATTTATCCACATCAATATGAATTATGTGCAGCATATTCAAATTTATCCATATCAATATGAATTATGTGCAGCATATTCAAATTTATCCACATCAATATGAATTATGTGCAGCATATTCAAATTTATCCACATCAATACCAGTTAATTTATATTTATATTAAACTCTATTGAATATATTTGAATGATGATTCAAAATCAGTATTTTTCAATGGAATATCTATTGGATCGATTGATGGTAAAAACCAAAAATCCCGATAATCATTCATCATTCTCTTCTTAGTGAGGTCAGTTCAATTAATGTCAATTAATAATATTTGAAGATCATTACCAATAAGACCACGAACATGGACAATAATATATAACGATTATTAATTATATCAGGATCATAAATAAATTTTAATCTATAACGATTATTAATTATATTAGATAATTAAAATTATATCGTATATTTATAAATAATATAATAATTGTGTAATAATTTATGCTTAAATAAATAATATTCTAAAATATAAATACTTTATCTCAAAATTTAATTATTTAATTTGTCTTGTATGAATTAATTGTCTTTGTAAATTTTTAACATTACGTGTACCAAGAACAGGTAAGATTTCATTAATTGGAGATTCACCAAAATATTTATGCCAAAGGGCATGGAATTTTTTTGGAAATGTTTTCATACTTAAACAATAAGTGAAATGAACAAACATTACCTTACCATAATCTACTGGCATCTTTTCTTTTATAGGAGAATCTATAATTTTTTGACGAATTAATTCATAATTATTAACATTTAACAACTGATCAATATTACATTTTAAAAGAACATGTTCAAATTGCTTATCAATAAATTTATTTGGATACTTATTTAATACTAATGCCATTCGTAGCTTTTCTCGCTCATTTAAATATTCTTGAAAAGTTGAGCAATATCTTAAAGCACGAAGTAACATTGTAAAAATAATATTCTTTTTCATATGTATTGGATGAACACTATTAAATGGTAAATAATATGGCTCATAGGATGGTTTTTGAAATACTGTAGTAAATAATTGGCCATCTTTATTTTCTATATGTAAATCTAGGAAATCAGCCATAAAACCTATATTTTCAGATAA